AAATATAAGTCTTACCAAAAGACATAGAAAAAAAAATGAAAGACGTTTACAACTCCCTGTAATGCCGAACTAGAGCGCAGCTCTTGAGGAAGAGGAGGAGCGGAGGGTATCATCCGTACCCTTTCCTCGTCCTCTCATCCTCCCGTGCTCCTCCCCTCCTCCTGCTTTCCTTTCCTGCTCCTCGTGCTGCTCTCTTGAGGTATTTCGATTTTGCGATCTGAGACAATCGAAACAATCTGAGAAAGATATATATGCAATATATATATATATATATATATATATATATATATATATATATATATATATATATATATATATATATATATATATATTATATATATATATATATATCTGGTAATCTTGTTCACCGCTTGACCGGAGAAAGGAAATGTAGTTCTCACATCTGAAAGCTCCACTCTGTCTAAGTTCTGCCGGTGCCAGGAAATAGGACAGCAGGATCAAGGCGGGAGAACGAGGCAGCGTTAAAGTGAACACTTTGACTATAGCACTTGATACTCTCGATATCATCCTACTTGCTCTCGGCTCTGTCGAAGACTGCTCGGCGTTCTTTATTTCATCAGCAATAGTCTTGAGCGTGCTCTCCCGAGATGGCACAGCAGAACAGCGAGTGCACGTCCCTCGGGGCCAATGCGATGGTTTCCTGCATGACTGTTATGAAGTTCTTCCTTGTCTTGCCCGACATATTTGGTGAATGCCGTAGGTGAGAGATACAGAGCTACCGCGAGCAAGCCGTTGTCGACCTTGGCGGCACAAAATTTACCAACTTCGTCTGACGTGCCAAAGAGATCGATGCGTACAGCACAGACCAGACTTTACACATGGGTACAGGACTGTACCCATGTAGATGGCCACTTGGATAACGAGTACACCACGTTTTCATACTTACCTCTGTGTGATTTATGAACGGCGACATCACCAGCCTGCACAGTGACTAGCTGGCATCTCTGCTCCTCCTCCTCCTCCTCCTCATTTCCTGCTCCCCCTCCTCATCTCCTCCTCCTCCCTCCTCATCTCCTCCTCCTCCCCCTCAGCCTCCCTAATTCTCCCTCCTCCTCCTTTTCCCTCCTCCTTCTTCCTCCTAGTGCGACGTACGTAACCCGCGCGTTGCATTATGGGAGACGTCGCACAATGCAACGCGCGGGACACCAGTGAAACCCGCGCGCCGCAATATGAGACGTTTCCCATAATGCATCGCGCGGTTACGCCGACGGGGACGGCGACACCGCTCAAGCTGGAAAGGAGCGCCTGAGAGCTGCGCTCTAAAATGCGATGTCGTTCTGTGCCACTTAATGTTTTAATAATTCTTGGCTACACCAACGCTGGAGCAATGGGACCAGTTTAACGTTTCGCATTTAACATCCAACTAGGCTCACTTTCTATCGTATTAGCATATCATAAGACCGGAGACGACGGAAAGACCGTGGACAGGAGACACGTCTCAAGAACAGCATGTGGTTTTTCACCGAGAATATCTCTGACCCTATGGCAGAAGAAACATCTAACGGCAGTTAAAGATTCTGAAGTTACTTTGGGTTATAACTTGCACTATATAAACTTCCGTGTTTACGTTTCTTTTTTCCTTTTGCACATAATTGGTGTTTTTTGGTGTCAGTTTGCAATACTGGACAAAAAGGCGACGTTTGTTTGGGCTTATGTTGAAGAAAACAGGCGCGGGCTTGGGATCCCCTGATTTCAAGAGAGCATCTACAGGACTGGAGCACTTGGAGATTGTCCCAATACCGAGAAGAAAAATAAAATATAATAAGGAGTGCCTTTCACAAAGAAAAGAGCAAATAAGGCTGGAATTTTAAGTGAAAAGCTGCAGCAAAAAGGCGATTGCTTATTATGCCAATGACACTTATTATCCGGCTGGCCCGATGTATGACGGCACAAAACTGCCATAACGCAAGGTCTAGTTATATTTTTAAAAGTGCTTAAAGGGATACTACAACGAAATTTCGGCGCTCATTTTTTGGTCTATATGTGTTCAAAGGAGCAGTATCACATCGAACATACCAATATCTTGTGAAAAAAGTCTCGAAAAGGAATTTTAAAACGAATTAAACGATTAGCAAAGAGCACCTGGTGGATGTCGCTAACACCTCATTTGTAATGCTCATCTAGGAACCTTGAGAGGTAGTGACGGAGGTTGTCTCGCTTCCGGCCACGACGAAAGAAGAGGGGAAAGAGGAACTCCCCTCTTCCCGAGAATGCCTTTTGTGTGTCGCAGAAGTCGCTATTGTCCCCATACAAGATTATAGAAGATTAACCCGTCACTCAAAATTCGTACAAAAGCAGCCGCTTCGGTGGCTGGAACGACTAGGCCATCCTCTCGACGTCAGCCTCGCCATAGCTTTGCTCGTCCTGAGACGACCTGCGTCACGATTGCGTTGGATGTCACGTGGTCTCCGCTGGACCTTCTCCGAGCGCTTGCCAGAGTGGGCCGTTTATGACGAAAAATACAGCCACCGGGCTCAAAATACAAACGTGCGATTGTCTTTTACGGATATTGAGGATCATATTCAACCTATTTTTGAACACAACGGGAATATTTCAAATTTCGTTGAAGTACCCCTTTAAAGTGTGTGTGTGTGTGGGGGGGGGGGGGGGGGGGGGGCGTATTCGTTTATATTGAGCATGATGATGAACTGCAGTAAAGTCTGCCCTGTCCTTCTTCTCTCTACCTTGTGCGCTAAATACCTCAATATGATGATGAGCCCCGAAACTGGACTGGAAAAAAATTAAAACAATGATAGAAAAAAATAAGAGAGGGGCGGGGGGGGGGGGGGGGGGGGGGGGGTGCAGCATCTTAATGTTGTCTTTCCCGTATTTTATACAGAGTTTTGAAAGCTTCACTCCTAGGACCATTGCGATTACAAGTGAATATATTATTATGATTTTTAACTACCAGCGTAATGGTGCCTTTGCGCTCGCTAGTTTACGGTATCTTCAGTTCTGTCAGAAGAAAAACACGAAATTTTCAGGGGGTCCATGTACACTCACGCAGTATTTGCATCTTAATATTAGTTTCTTTTTATTGGTAACTTTTCCGCTGCTGCAGGTAAAGAAACATATTACGAGAAAACACCCGAAGGCGAGGACGGATGAACGTACCCGGCGATAAGAGATTATCGGTTCTGCATTCTCGCAAAGCTTCTCTACGAGGACTTGAGGAACGCAGACTTCACAGAAAAACGGCGATGAGGCGGAGATGTTTTGCACGAGCCGGATAGAAAGGCGGGCAGGAGTACGCTCGAAGGTTCTGCCGGAGAAACATCGGCCACAGCTTACACGTAGTACACTATACTACTACTTTTGTTTTACAGTCTTGTGTTACAATAAGAAAGTCGAGACTTCTACTGGAAGACGATGTGTGATAGTTTTTCTTAGATCAACTGACGGCTTACCATTCTGGATATTTGGTACCGTCTTGGTTGCAATGAGCGCCGAACAAAACGTCGATGCTCCCAGGCGTTACGAGCAGGTTCCGGCGGCGGAAGGACCGCTAGAGGAACACGAAGTCGACAGCGAGTACCTGTGCGGCCTAAGGAACTATAGGCCCTGCTGGATGCAAAAGTTCGCCACGTCCAGATACTTCGCGCTCGTCTTCGGGGTGCTGGGAATCTTCCAGGGGGCCCTGCGAACCTACCTGGTGGGTACACTGTCCACGGTCGAGAAGCGATTCTCGATGTCCGGCCGCCTGTCCAGCATCGTCATGATAGCGGACAACATCAGCCCCATCTTGGCCACTCTGGTGCTCGCGGTGTGGCTACGGCGGACGAGTAAGCCTAACTGGGTCGCCGGCGGAATGTTGCTGTCGGTCTTGGGAGCGGTGTCTTGCTGCCTGCCTTACGGAATCCACGGCAAAGGGACGCACCTGCTCGGAGACACGGGTCAGCCTGGAAACGCGCTGCGGACGCAGTTTTGCGGCGATGCGAACGTGGACGTTCTGTGCGCGGACGGGACGGGCGACGGCGTCTCGTTGGGCCCCCTGATGTTCTTGTTTGTAGGGAATTTCCTGAACGGGCTGGGAGGAACTGCGTACTACGTAATCGGCACAACCTATATGGATGACAACGTGAAGAAAAAAAACTCGGCGCTCTATTTTGGTATGTATTTTTGATGTCCCAGCAACAACAAAAGAAGCACGATATAGAATATTTTGTAACTGGCAGAACTTGTAGAAACGGACTACGTATGAGCGCACAAGCATTCATCAAAATATATAATAAAAAGAAAGGGCAATAACAGGCGAATACACAAAACACCTGAATCATATGTGTTTCAATTTGTTTCATCATCGATGTAGAGAAAGCTCAACAAATATTATTTTTTCTCAGCTTTAGGCTGAAACCAAGACAAACTTCGAGATTTGACAAAATCTCGAAGGTTAAACCTTAAACGCTAAAGAAGAAATTCCGGGCGTTCAGTAGGCTGCTTTATCACTGGCCAGCGGGGTTCAACAAAACGAAACAGCGAGCACCTTTTTGTAACAGTAGTTTCATTTTCTCTCAGGGTCGGTGTTTGCCTTCCGTCTCATGGGGCCGGTGGTCGGATTTTTTCTATCATCGTTCTGTCTGAGCTATCCCGAAGACCCGCATGGTGAGTGACGCTCCACTTCACCGTAGAATGAAGCATAGCCGATGCTCGAGTAGCGACGTAAAAGTCTTAAGGCCCATTCACATACTTGCGTTCACCAGGACCTTGCGCCTCGAAAACCTATGAACTGAAATGAAACTAAAACGAAATATGTGTGTGTACGTAAATGTGTAGACTCGATCAGTCCGAATGTATAGGACTAGCGTATCGAAAAATGTCATGGTTTGGGTTGACCTTTGAGTTTTGATTAAAATAAAAAGTGACTTTTGTAAGTGAGTTTTTTTATTAGAGAACGGCGGCTAAAAACCTCTAAAATTCATAGAGATAAAAAGCATGTAGTCTGCGGCCAGAAAAGGGGGAGTTTAATTCTCACTGAACAATTTCAGAACATTGCAGCTAATTTTTCACTCAGACGGTAATAAGTTTCGAATAATGATGCTTTCCGAAAGATGGTACCAAAGTGAAGATGTTTTTATCTTATCTGGCTACGATCATTTTTTCTTAAGCCGGAGTGGGAAACGAGGGGGCGGGGTTTGCATTTATGTTAAAGAAGATAATCAGTGCGAAATACTTGACGCGTTTAACGAAACTACAGATGGCTATGAAATTATGAGCCTGAAACACGGGAGTAAACTACTCTCTGTAATGTATCGCCCTCCAGCTGGAAATGTTAACAACTGCTTGTCCTGTCTTGAGAGAGAATTAGATTTTATAAGTGTGAATAACTATTTGCTTGTTCTTCGCGGTGATTTCAATGTAAATATTTTAGCGAACTCGTCTGTTTCGTCGCGACTTAATGATACTCTTAGTAGAAGCGGGTTTTCCAATGTCAATTTGTCTCCCACTAGAAGTACCCATTCTACATCAACGGCTATTGATGTTTTCATTACAAATATAAACACTGTTGTTGGCAGTGCAGGTACGACAAGTATCGCCATGAGCGACCATTTACCTTTATTCTTATGTTTTAAAACTCACAAATTATCCAGCAGCGCTAGAAAAAATTGATATAATTGCCACAGTGTTAGTATACACATTTAACTTGGCCTTGACAACTGACAAGTTCCCAAATACGATGAAACTCGAAAACGTTTTTGTTTTGCATAAGGGATGTGTTAAAAAAGGAAGTTGTTACAAATTGTATTGACCAATATCTATACTACCCATATTTTCTAAACAACTAGAAAAATATTTTTCGTCATTTAGACGACATTTTGATTCCGCATTCAGTGTTAACTGACTTTCAGTTTGGTTTCCGCAAGTAAAAGTACACATAATGCGCTTTGTTATCTAAAAAAAAAAAACTGATATTAAGAAATATAGAGCAAAGACAGTTGACACTGGGACTTTTTATCGAGTCTAGCAAAACTTTCACTTCTCTCAACCATACAAAGCTTATTGATAAACTTTACTATTAGGGTGTACGGGGCACGTCTTTAGGACTTATTCATTCATACCTAGAAGATCGGAAACAGTACGTGTCTTAATCAATGGTTATATTTCGTCGTCACAACTATTGAAGTCTGGTGTTCCACAGGGAAGCATACGTGGCCCACTTTTGTTCAATGTGTATATGAATGACAACGTCAACATCTGTCAACACTCACACTTTCTAATGTATGCAGATGATTCTAGTATTTTCATTACTGCAACGAATATTGAAGAACTGATAATTAAAGGTAATGCTGTCTTAAAAATCTGTTAGGGTCAGAACAAAATGGCCTTGATATAAATACTGCTAAAACGAAAGCGATTGTATTTAGACCAGTAAATAAACATATCGATACTGAGTATGCGCTTAAATTGGTAGCAGCCAGATTAAAATAGTAAGCCTTCATAAAACGACAGGCGTTATTTTTTTAGAGTATATGGAATGGGATCATCATATGGGATTTCCAACTCACAAACTGTCACAGGTAGCTCGCATTATTGATCACTATGGCCCCCTTTTGCCTACAAAAGTTAGGATTTAAATTCATCATGCTTTGTTCGGCTCACAGATTAACTACTGTCATTTTGTCTGGGGCACAACGACAAAAACAGATATAAACAAACTAATGCTTCTACAGAAAAAAAATGCTTCGTTTAATTGCATATGTTCCATACGACATACATGCCTAACCGCTATTTTTGGGCTACATTGTCTTGAACATTTCCAGTGTTTATGACTATTGTCTGCTATTTTATTGCGCCTTTTCAACTTTGGAGTTCATTGGTTTTTTGGCGGATCTAGCAAACCTGACAAAACGAGAATCAGCCATCAATGTTCGTAGGAGAGAATTCTGAAACGTCTCACATTTGCGTACATATTATGCACTGTAGTCTCTTGTTCTTAACCTACCTACACTGCTTAACAACATTTGAAAATATCATTATTATTCATTCTATATAAAAAACAAACAAAAAACTGCGCATTTTTTGTATTGTTTAGGCAAATAGAATGGTTTTTGTGGGAATTTTATAGGGAGGTTTTCAATTGTTCTGATAGGAATTTTTATGAAATGTGTTTAGTTATTTTGTATAATTTGTAGCAATGTTTCCAAAAGATTAGTTTTAAAGCATCCATTCCGTGTACGTGCAAGGACATCGGATATAGCCAAGCTAGCTCTTGGTAGCTTTTTGTCTGGTGTCGTCAACATAATGTTGCTGAAAAGGAAGTTCAGTTCCGTTCAGAAACATTTGCCGTCCTATCCAAACCTATAGCTCCGCGTTCGGGCAGAGTGGACGCTTCAGGCATTGGTATAGTTTATTTTAGGGGTGCAAAAAACACGATTCGCTTTTCTAGGTTAACAACCCGCAGATCAGGGGCCGGCAACATTTTAGAAGGGCGGGTTCGGTGCTTGCGAGAGGGCCGATCTCAAGTAAGAAGGAGAGAAGAAGGCGGAAGGTGGAGGAGGGGGCTTGTAAATATGAGTGGAACTGTGAACTTTCTAACATGCGGATAAACCAGCCTGTAGCCCAAAGAAGATAATCGCCGTTGTATAAGATAAAGTACTGGTGGCATCGGGACAAAGGAGACAAGGGTGCAATTTGAGACATTTCTAATAAATATCCCAAAGAAAAAGGGAAAACAAACACCCGCCCTCTGTCCAGCTCCCAAACAGTTTCATGGCCTTTGCAAAGCACAGCGATGCTAAGAAGGTAGCGAGCACTTAGTAAAAATGTCTATTAGATTAAAAATCTTTTCAATAGTGAGTTAGCTATATTGTATAGGGAAATAAATCACTTTTTTAATTTAAAAACACTCTTTTCCGCAAGTAAAGTCGAAACAAATGACAAAAAGTAAAAGCTGAAACTTCTTTAGAACCTCGTGGTGGCAGGCACCGCATGGTAAGAGACTTTGTATATTCAGAGCTTAGAAGCCAAGAGCTAAACGTTGTCCGCCACTCTTAACCTTTCAGAATGTTTATTTTCAAGAGCCCACAAAATCACGAGCACACCGATGCTAAGAAAGTCAAACACCACAGTCAGCCCCTGGTTGACTGTGGTGTTCGAGCTCTATTCCAAGGGAAAACACTTCTGTTTTTATCAGAGGCTGCCCACTCAGAAACAATTCGTACGCAGAGAACGCAGAAATGGGTCAGGATGACCCACGCTGGATCGGGGCCTGGTGGATGGGCTACCTGATTATTGGAACGGGCATCTTTCTGAGCACGCTGCCCATGTTCTTCTTCCCCAAGAAGATACGGCCCAAGGCGGAAGCCAACAAGATCGATACAACTGAGACAAAGGACAAGAGCATCAAGGATGACGCTGAAGGTGGGTGTTTTAAAATACCGAACTGGAAATCAATGAACTGAACAGGCATCATCCCGAAAAGCGAATCTTGGCCGGGGCGCCAAAAAATCCAGTCAACGGTTCGCCCAGTAGCCGAACGCAGAGTATATTTTTGCTATGTAGCAAAATTTAAGAGCTTACCAATCACTGGATTTCTCTCAGTCGGTTCAAGCAATCGGGAAGGGGATAGGCATCGCGTTCCACTAATGACGCGGCACCGGTGGCGAAAAAGAGCCCATCTGTTTTTGCCACCGAGAGCACGTGGCTATCGGAGCATCTAGTACGAACCAATTAAAGAAACCAAAAAATGCTGTTCAGAATACACAACGGAGAAGATTATTCAGGAATCTCCTGAGCGTGGAAATCTGTCTTGACCTGTTACCGCTAGCGTTTGCTCGTACTTTGAAATGATACCGCTTGTGTTAGCAGGAAGTTCACCCTAAAACAATCACCTTGCGCATTTTCCGCAGAGCATTCAAGGAGTCGACTTGTGTAACAACCTAAGGCAAGCACCACGTGTAAATTGCTAGAGCATATTATTTTTACACATATTTCATGTTACTTAGATAAGCATAACCTAATATATAGAAATCAGCATGGGTTTAGGAAATCACTTTCGACTACAACTCAGCTCATAGAATTTACGCATGATTTGGCTGAAGCCATTAACGAGAGGGGCCAGACTGACGTGATTTACTTAGATTTTTCTAAGGCGTTTGACACGGTGTGTCATCCAAAACTTTCCAGTATACTCAAAAACTCACAAATTATAAATTGGGTAACCGCGTATTTATCAAACCGAAGCCAATATGTCCACTATAACAAAGTTGATTCGGACAAAGTGCGCGTTACTTCAGGAGTGCCCCAGGGTTCCGTACTTGGGCCACTTTTGTTTTTGATTTACATTAATGACATTCCAACCAATATTGATGTCCCGATTAGATTGTTCGCTGACGACTGTATTATATATAAAACAATAAAAAGCCATACCGACAATCTTAAACTGCAGCAGGCTTTGGATGAGATACTGTGTTGGACTAAAAAATGGCAAATGAAGTTAAATTTTTTTAAAACAGCCGTCATGACAGTGTCCTGTAAAAAAAAGCCAATTCAATTTAGTTACCTACTGGATGGACAGCCAGTAAAGCGGGTCGAGGAGTACAAGTATTTAGGACTTCTTTTTAACAATGAACTGAACTGGAACCAGCATTTAGAATTAACGGTTAACAAAGCGAGGGGCACTTTGTTTGCGTGTCGTAGGAAATTAAAATATGCTGATTTTGACACTAAACTTATTGCTTATAAAAGTTTTATTAGGCCTGTGCTCGAATATGCTAGTTCAGTATGGTGCCCTTTCACACTAAACGATATTAACAAGCTTGAAAGTATCCAAAAGTTAGCTGCTCGGTTTATTTTTAATGATTATCGTAGAGAAACATCGTCCACCGAATTAGTTATTAGAGCGAAGCTTCAACCGTTGCAAATGAGAGCGAAAATTGATAGATTAAGATTGTTGTTCAATATTCTTAATGGCACTCTTCATGTTCAAAGCTCTAACTATATACAACCATTATCGACCGGGTCCTCACGTCTAAACCACACAAGAGCGTTAAAACAATACAGGTTCAAAAACGACTGTTTTAGATATTCTTTCTTCCCTCGGGCAATTCAAGAATGGAACGAGCTACCAAATGATGTCGTCGTTAACACAACTGTTGCTAATTTTGTATCTGCTCTTGAATTCATACTTAATTGAGTTTTCATTTATAAATCTGCATCTTGTATACATGTTTTGTACCCACTCCTACCATGGCTCCTTGACTGGAGCCAGTAGTATTCCTAAATAAATAAATACCGAAACAAGAAAGAAACAAATAAACAAACGTTTCGACCTACAGAAAAGCTAACGTATTTTTGCGATGTGACAGTCGGCATGATGCGAATATGTGAAACACCATGCTCTGTGTCACATAGCAGCCATTATTTATTAAGATCGAAATGTTTTTTTTTTTTCGGTCTCGTCAGTCGCTGAGCTCTTACCTAAATCATAGTGATCGGCCCTTTGAATGTTCTGCGGATAAAAACAGAAAAACAGAGTATTTGCTGGAGTGTAGAGTATCACAAAACGAAGACCTTAAACGGACATTGACATGATATTTATGCTCGCCAAGGTTTTTATTTGTATATGGTATATGAGAACCCAACTACCCAGAACACAATCTGTGGATCGATATTCGTTTTCTTTCCGCCCGAAAACCGCCGATCGAGACCTAGCCGGTTTAAGTCGCGTTCACTTTCTTCATCGTGGTCACGTGCTTTTCTTAATTTTAGACACAACCACCAAATATAATCAAAGTCGTGGGTCATCGAAGACATACATTCAATATCAAAAATAGAAAAAAATGATACCCTTTTTTATGGCTCTTAAAAAACCTAAAATGTGTTGATTAAAAAAAAAAAAAAAAAAAGAACGTTTCACAGTCATGTAACTTTCGGCCAACTTTCTCTTCTACATTTCTTCTTTTTCTCCAGCCCAGTTTCGGTTTCAGTTTTGGGCTGTAGCTTTTTTTGTTTTTATTAAAATATATAGCGCGTAGCAAAATATTGATTGGGTAGTTTTCTAATACCATAATAAATCGCCTGTCAAAAAAAAAAAGTGTGTGTGTGTGTTTGTGCGGGGGTGGGGTCGTGCTCTTTTAAGTATATCTCGACAGGCGGTCCTTTCAAGCCCAGTACTACAGAATACTGACATGGTTTCTCTGCAGAAACTTGGCAGGTGCTACACAGGCTTTCCAGAAATCCAATCTATGTCTTCAGAACCATCGCGACTATCACCGCTGTTTTTGGCCTGGCAGGCTACTACATTTCATTTCCCAAATATACAGAACACCAGTTCTCACAGACAGCATCGCAGGCTAGTCTGATAGCAGGTATGCCCTCTTTTTTTTTCTCTCTCTCTCTTTCTCGTTCTCTGACTTTTTGCTTCTCTGTTATATTTGCTAACATTTTTTTTTCTTTCTTTCTTTTTTTTTTTTTAAGCGGCACTTTACCAGTTTAATTTTACCTAAGAAACCCAGCGACAGCGAAAATTGTCTCGCCGATTTATCAATTTTATATTTATTCAATTTATTTTTCTTTTTGTACCCGTGTTAAGTTTCGAGGTTAACGTCACCCATCCAGATTACGGCAACTTAAAAAAAAGAAAAGTAGCGCGTTTTTTTTTAGTTTTAGGGTCGAAAATAACAAACTAAATCTCGAAGTAAACAAGTAAAAAAGAAATTATTATTTTTTATATTTTTTATTAAGTTGTATACATGTCTGGTTCGCTGTGTTTACCTTGCAACTTCAGTTGAAACATTAACATCTCTAACTCAGAAAAACAAAACATGAAGCCGCAAAACTCTTCTTTGTTTGCTTTCTGATTGCGTGTCAGCATTAAGAACGTGTACGAAAAAAATTAATTAGTTGCCATTCTTGAATAAGGTAATCCTGTAACGAATTGATGTGTCATAATTTCAAGCTGTTTATTTCATTCATTATCCATTTGCTGACAGGTCCAACGTACATCGTGTCTAATGTGATCGGCACCATTCTGGGCTCCGTTTTCGTCCACAAGGTCAAGCCGAGGCCGCGGATTGTAGCCATCCATGGCCTAGTCGTCACGCTGATATCAGTCGTTGGCATCCTGGCTCTCATGGCAGTAAGCTGCGGCTCCATTCAGTATCCGGTGATCCGGGACGACAAAGAACGGTACTGTTTAGTTCTGATAGGTGCTCTAATGCATTTGTAAGCTATTTATTATATACCAGGCTCTATAAGAAATCCGCTTAAAGACTACACTCTCGGAAATCCCTGATGATGCACTCGTAACAGCAATAGTTGATCTTCCTCGATTCAGCTAAAGCAATCAGAACGACGATCTGTATAGAAAAAGAGGTGGACATGCATGTTTTTGTCATTACGACTGCGTGGCCATGGAAGCATAATAGGGTGATTTCAGATAAGATCGACCAAAGGATGGCTAGTAGACATTTTCAAATCAACTGATGTTTTTATATGTTATTGTCTAGTGTCTGGTATGAACGAATCCAAACTTAGTTTTGACTAGAAAAAATACTTGGGGACAGGAAAAATCGTAAGGCATGAGGTGGTGGACAGTTGCATTAACGCGCACTGATGGAGGGGGCCCGTTTGAGAGTGAATAACTAAAGCGATAACATTAGGAGAACTCTAATACGTTTTAGGCGCAAACTATGGGTATAGCTTGCTTGTAATATAAAGTAATCATATTTATTTAAAATTTATTTATTTTTCTAAACATTGACAAACATGCCTGCTCGAACGACAAATGGCAAACTTTGGAGGTCTGTATCTCATGAAATAATTTAATCATTATGATATAATTTGCAGATATTATTCTACTAATATATAGCTCATATTTAAAAAATAGCTAAGGTATCTGTGTGATACAATAGTTAGGATATATTTAGTCAAACATGGAAAAAAAATCAAACAAAGAAAAATTCCGATGCGAATAAAAAAAAAAAAAACGCCACCCTTGATTTTTTTTAAATTTAGGTAACCTGTTATACTCTATTTCGGCATTCACTTCCATTAAAAACATATTGCATCATTTTATTGAGAAAGAAGATACAACTCCCCAAAGTAGGGTCCTTTTTCAAAGCCTACACTTAGCAGTGTTTTATACAAGAACTGACTCTGAGTTCCAGTTTCATGAAACCAACACACATCTTTTATATATTTTTATTCAGATGAGGCCAATGATAACTAAAGAAATCGTTCACACACTTAAATTAAGGGGAAACTACTGTGTACAAAGAGGTATCATATTACGGACTAGTGATCCGAGAAAAGATCATGCAGCCATCGGCCACTAGGAACTTTGTTTACTTTATTCTCCTGCGACACTATATGCTATTCCCTCTTCCGCTCTACCTTCATCTCTCTCTCTCTCTCTCTCATATATATCCCTGATATATATCCAGAACAAAAACATGTTCAAGCATTCCCTTTCTGCGTGGTAGTGTTCTGTGGCTAGCAAAAATCATTTCCTCGCTAAGCTCACGATTATGGCAAAATAGTTGCCGGAAACCGCAGACGACACTCGTCGCTAGTTCTGGCAAAACGGCCGATACAATCTTTTTTTCGCATTTTCCCGCTCGCTGTCAAGGACAAGGGGGTTCGCTTCAACCAGCAAAACATGGCCGCCGACGCCTGTTTACTGAGCAGTCATGCCTGTCGCCATCTCACTCGCTGGCGTCACGGGCGATAATATCAGGCACAAAGGGGCACACCAACCGGCAGCATTATCCCCAAATACTCGAGCCTCGCGTAAATACATAGAGTGTAAACGCTGTCGCCATGTTATCGTAGTAAGACCGCCCCCCCCCCCCCCTCCCCCAACGGGGGACTGCAGTACGCGACGGCGTACTAACACAACGGCGACGATATCGACATCGCGGGCTCCGAATTTTCCCATAGTTCTACTCCACGGGCATTTCTCGAAACGCTTGATATTGTGTCCGCCCGCCTGGAAGGATTTCAGGCGCGTAGTTAAGATAAGGCGGTTCTCCGCGGCAAAAGAAAGCAATTTCACAAAAGCTTAAAAGCGGCGGCGACGCGTGTGCGGTGAACGCTTGTAGTTTTGGTGTAGACAGGGTGTGTGTGTTCTCGTTGTTGACACCAGCCGGCGATAAGGCACTGCAGGCGGTAGCTCAGTACAGCAAGGGCTAATCCGAGTGACCATCAACGTAACCCCACCGCCAACCCCTCGCGAACCGGTCGCCGACATGGCTCAGGCTGTGTCATGAACCACGTGGTAGAAGCTCGGGTGCTTTCATATCAGCGCGTGGAGGGACGACAGTGCGATTCCGGAAAGTCTTTTTCGAAGGCCGCCGACCACAATTTTTTGTCTGGAGACTTTCCCTCTTTCTTCCTTTGACGTGGATCAAGCTTTGCCGACAGCCTCAGTTGTGACCTTTCTTTTCAAATGTAGGTTTGCAGCGAGTGAGCTCCTCAGCCTCGGACTTGTCACTTGTGCAACCAGTAGTTCTTTCACTTGGCAATTATATGCCATCAGTTGGGGTTTAATTTCTATTATTTATGTATACATTATGAAGACGTCCTGGAGCTCCGAACGAGTGTTTTGTGCAGATTACTTTTACAAACACAAAAATACTATACCAAAGCAGCGGAATCTTCGAAGTGTTGGCGAGTTGGACCTAAACTCGTTGAAGCAAATTCTTCCGCCTGACTGTTCCACCAAAGTGAGTGCGACGGACTACCTGTGCTACCATTGCTTCATGCACATCACTAAGGAGATCTCGATGCGAAGCTCAGAGCAGTGCCCTGACATATTTGTGCCAGCTGAAGAAGCAATTGAAGATCTAAATCGCAGCACACTACCCTACAGATGTGTCGCCGCTGAGACAACCAAGCGTCGTAAGAAGTCGGGACAGGCCTGCCTATGTCAAGAGAAAGCAGACAGAACTGGAGCACGTTGCTGTCAAGAATATACGCTCAAGGCTACGTATTGCGTACGACAGGGACGCACCATCGGGGTCGTCCGAACCAACATGCTCCACATGCACTGAGTGGGTGGACAACTTTTGGCAGGCCTTTGAAACCGCCACCTCTCTCCGGGAACGTTGTCAACTGCTTACACTCCTGCCGTCAACACTGACGAAGAATGAGGTTCAAAAGATGATTCCACAGGCCTCAATGTACCTCATCAGTAAATCCCGAAAACTCAAGGAAAAGCATGGCGTGTGGTATGAGCCGGATCCTTACACGAGGTGCAAGGTGAGCCCTGAGAACCTGTCTGCTGCCCTAGAGTACTTCACGAAAGACGAGCTACAATGTTCGCGCCAAAGTCCCAACCAGAAGGACGTCATCTCTGTCATGCTCAACGGAGAGAAAACGTTCGTGCCAAAGCGCTTCATGACACGCTCAATACGAAGGCCTTCCGTATATACAAAGACAAGCATCCCGATTCCGGCGTTGGGCTAACGAAATTTTATTCGTTGCGCCCTAGATGGGTCCAATGTATTCCACACCAGGAAGTGTGCGTTTGTGTGCGCTGCGCCAATTATTATCTTTGTATTGCCGCTCTAGAGAACGTTACAGGCTCAACATTCAACACTGGTGAAATGAACTCGGCATTTCTGTGCGACCCAGCAACAGAACTGTGCCTTCAAGGAGACTGTGATCACTGCCCAAAAGGCCAGTTTCTTACACTCCAGGAACTTGATATCCCGGAGGATGAAGAGATTGTGCTTGCAACATGGGAGTCCGGCGACCTTGTGAAAAAAACTTTGGAACCTGAGACTTTCCTAAAAGTCATCCAAGTGACGGTTGGAAGTTGGGTACTTCACAACCATATCCGGCAAACGCAAGGTAAAGCGATCTACGATGAAAAACAGTGAATGCAACGCGGGAGCTTTGTCTTTCATTTTGACTTTGCTGAAAACTGGACCATCGTGCTTCCTGACGAAGTGCAAGCATATCACTGGAAAAAAAAACAAGTTTCGATATTTACATGTGTAGTGACGACAAGAAAATCTACAAACAGCTTTGCCATCATCAGTGAGGACCTGTGTCACGACGCCGCTCACGCTTGCTTGGCTCTAGAAAAAGTGAAGGAGTGGGTTGAAGACAACGTTGCGGTATACTCGTACGTGACGTACGCAAGTGACGGCGCCGCCAGTCATTTCAAGAATCGCTACCAGCTTCACCAATTTGCAAAGGACGATTGCCCACAAGCCCAGTGGTTATTTTCTGCATCTGGACATGGGAAAAATGCATGTGACGGAGTTGGCGGACTCGTGAAGCACCAGGCCACGCTGAACAACCTGAGAGAACGTTCAGTAAGCGCAATTCAGACGGCCAGGACAATGGTGAGCGTTCTATCAAAGAAACTGAAAGGCGTGCATCTTGTATATCTGGACGAAAATGAGGTTGTTCGGTATCGTGAACAAAAAAAAAAAAAGAAGAGTGGCTGACGGTGCGCGCCTTCCCTGGCATTCAGTCTTGGCACGCGTGGCGGCTCATCAACAGAAGGGACCTGTGACGTATATGTAGCACGGACAGTCGGATCTGCTTGGAAGCAACTTTATTAAATGGGTACAGCGAGGAAAACCTTAGCGTAAAGTGCCGAATTTGATTTCCCAAGGACTGCTCATTTTGAATGCAGGGACATCTTATTTATCACATTTTTCTTCACGGGGTATTTAACCTACTGTTTTTGTTGGTGGTTACTAATAATTTTTATCTGATCACTATAAAAAAAATCCCAAAATGTTATCCTCGAGCAGGATAAAATATATCGGCTTGCCACGATTCATTTATACACCGAGAGCATCGAAGCTGCTCCAGTTAGGCACTATGGCATCCGTCACCTGAAATTGTTTGTAATCGTAAATACACAGCCAACATAAATATCTTACTATTATATCTTTGCTTTTGTGTGTGGAAGTAAAGTTATTTATTTTACTCTAGATGTAAAATATACCGGAAGGTACAACTTCACACTGCATCATCTTTTCTCAAATCATTAGTCTCTAATATGATACCACTTTGTACGCTTATGTAAAATGCTGTATACAGTTTCTCCTCTCTTTTACTGTGTGACCGATCGCTCTTTTTATCAATGACCTCATCTGAATAAATGTATATAAAAGATTTGTGCAAGTTTCATGAAACTGGAACTCAGAGTCACTTCTTGTATAGGACACTGCTAAGTGTAGGCTTTGAAAAAGGACCCTACTTTGGGGAGTTGTTTCTTCTTTCACAGTGCAATGATGCAACATGTTTTTAATAGAAATGAATGCCGAAATAGAGTATAACAGGGTACCCAAATTTTAAAAAAATCGAAGGTGGTGTTTTTTTTTTATTCGCATTGGAATTTTTCTTTGTTTGATTTTTTTCCCATGTTTGCCTAAATATATTGTAACTATTGTGTCACTCAGACACCTTATTTATTTTTTCAATAATAGCCATATATTAGTAAAATAATGTCTGCAAGTTGTGCAATAATGATTAAATTATTTCATGAGATACAGATTTCCAAAGTTTGCCATTTGTCGTTCGAGCAGGCATGTTTGGCAATTTTTAGAAAACTAAATAAATTTTTAATAAATATTATTACTTTATATTACAAGCAAGTTGTACCCATAGTTTGTTTGTAAAAAGTTTTAAAATTCTCCTAATTTTATTGTTTTAATTATTCACTTTCAAACTTGCCCCCTCCATCAGTGCGCGTTATTGCAACTGTCCACCTCTCCCTGCCTTACGATTTTTCTTGTCTCCAAATTTTTTTTCTGGTCAAAACTAAGTGTGGATTCGTTTATACCAGACACTAGACAATGTCATATAAAAACATCAGTTGATTTAAAAATGTCGACCAGCCACCCTTTGGTCGATCTTATCTGAAATCACCCAATACTGATCCTTCTTCTCATTGGTTGGGCTGATTAATGGAAGGGCCATGATTGGTGTTCCGAGTGTGCTACAATGCAGTACCTCCCAGAGATTCCTGAGAGTGGACTTGCACTGACGAATACGGCTCTTTTAGCGCAAAGCCTCAAACCATAACTTTTTCACACTTTCAGGCTGACGATTGAGAACCGCTGCAGCATAGATTGCGATTGTTCCACGAGCATTCATCATCCTGTCTGCGACCTAGATACCGGCACTCAATACTTCTCGGCCTGCTTCGCGGGGTGCAAGCCAGAGCCATTCAATACTACGGTTTGTTGGAGAGCGCTTCAAAACACATCTATTTGTTTTATTTAAATAATGCTTCTTAGGTGTCTTTCACAACAAAGGAACGCAGTACTGTGTCAAATGTGTTCACGTCTATGATTGCACCATTTGGTTTGAGCACGTCACTGAAGACATATACCGTACGAGTTACAGTTTGTGCATTCCCTCTCACTCATTACCTCTTCCGGTAACAGAGTAACGACTACTTCCTGCAAACACGAACGACAAATGTATTTTATTGACGGTGCGACGAGTGTCAGTATTTTGTTTCCTTTTCTGAGATACAATAGAAAACGAAAACGCATATCAACACGTGCTGTGTCTGCGTCACGATCGAGACGCCCTAAAAGGCAAAATAAGGGCAGGCATCCACAAAGGCAGATAAATGCAGTGGCGGAGCTAGGCCATCCGGCTCCCGGGGCCCTTATGTCTTGAAATACAACATTCCTGTGTAGTCTGCACGCGTGGATAGTCCGCACAGCCTAAAATTTCAACTTTTAGACAGGAATGGTCGGCGAAGTAGAGCCAGGAAAATACGGTATATTCGTTAATATGTGAACGAGAAATGAGCCCTGAATCTTTGTTATTGAGGGCGAAGTCAGTATTTCTTTACAATTTTCGCCAAAAACGAGTAAAGGTACTTTGTTACTATTTAAATGAGACATAGGTAAGGTTTTTTTTCTTTTTTTTTTACTATATGAACAAGTAAAAAAATGATGCTTAACCACTCTTTGAGCAAGGAACAAGTAACGTTCCTCAGATATCTTTTGTTAGTAGCGTGTACATGTCAACCTCAATGTCGATGCATGGCGCGCAGGAATATAGGGATTGCGTGTGCCTGCAGTCTGAACCAGGAATGGACAAGTTTTCCAGAGGGCATGTCAAAAATGGAAAATGCGAACAGGACTGCATGGGAGCCATGATGGCATTCGCCGGAGTGTTGTTCTTCATCCAGATCGCACTGTCTAGCGCAAACGTCGGCTCCACCCTCCTGCTTCTCAGGTACACGCCAAGTCTCCGACATAGCTATGGTGGGCTAGAAGCCTGTATCACGATCGTACGGGCAAAAGCAGTGCTGCGATTCATGCATAAAATGCGGAGCATTATTGGTGTCCTGTAAACAGCACCACCTTGCACTCTAGGGCTAGAAAAGTCTTGAAAAATGAAAGATGTTTACAATTCCTTGTAATGCCGAATTAGAGCGCAGCTCGTGAGGAGGAGGAGGGGAGGGAGCGGAGGGGAGGGTATGCCCCTCCTTCCTCTCCGTACCTTCCGCTCCTCCACATCAAGAGCGGGAAATTGACCGAAAATGTTTTGCTAAATGGCAGGGGAGTAGGAGAGGAGTGTGCGGAGAGGAGGGTATGCCCCTCCCCCTCCACCCCTGCCCCTCCTCCTCCTCATCTCCACCCCCGCCTCATTTTCCTTCTCCCTCCTCCTTAACTTCTCCTCCACTCCTCCCCTCCTCCTCCTCCTCCTCCTCCTCCCCTCCTCCTCCCCGCGTTGAATTATGGTAGTTCCATAATGCAACGCGCGGGTCACGATTGGCGGCGCTCGGGACCCTCGTGACGTCACACGTCACGAGGGTCCCGTCATTACGGGAAACGTGCCATAATGCAAAGCGCGGGTACGCCGACGGCGACACCGACGCCGCTCAAGCCGGAAACGGGCGCCTAAGAGCTGCGCTCTAAAACAGAAAATGCGGACAAAATTGGTCAGGTTGATCAATTTATCCCATTCTGTAGGGTACTGTAAAGTCGTAAATGAAAACACGATCCCTTGTAGTTTGTTTTATATTTCTTGCCTCATCTGTTTCTGTTTTGTTCTTTAAATACCAATTTCCAAATGGTTAAATGTCCTTCGCCGTTGTGAAGCTGTTGCCAGCTTACAGATGGTACCATGGTGATAGGGACACATGAGGTATGGGCATATAACGTGGAACCGCTCTCGATCACTGGAAGAACCAGACGATCACCCCCCCCCCCCCCCCCCTTTTCTTTTCTGGCCCACCACGCCATTGCTAACTGCGGTCAATTTAGAATCTCAGAAGTTAATGCACGCATGTTGCGCAGTAATGCAGTCGGAATGCCCCTCCTCCATCAATGTCCCTAGTTTAATCAGTTCAACCAACATGAAGAGTGTTCGGTATTGTGATCCGCTGGTCATACACTCTCGGTGGCATAAAGGCGTCCTTCCCTCCTCGCTCTAGAACTTTATGTTCATTGGGGTACGATCTTCTTATTTGTAGAACTGATTGAGAGGAGAACATTGACGGGAGATTCCAGTGCATCACGGGTCAGTACAGATGTTACGGTATCAGAGAGTGCGCTGTGAAAACAAACGCCTGCGTGTCTACCTCGGCGCAGAATACGAGGGGTCCAATTGCTACAATCTAACGGGGCACGTCTAGGAAGTTTTAGTGAATCGTATTTGGGACAAACGGTTCCGAAATCTCGAACAGATCAGAACCGTTCCCGAAACTGTGTATGCATTGTGAACCTTTGTAGTGAATCGTATATTGTAAATTTGACACAATCCCTTAATTCATGATGGTGATGATGTTGTTTAACTTAGTGTTATCACATAGATAACATAAGCCACGCTTTCGAACGCGCAAGAGTGGTAGCTCGCGTTTCATGGCGCAGTGCAGATGTGAACAAGACGGCCAAGACAATGTTCACCCGTTAGGATTTTGCAGAGCTCTGAAGCAAGATGGAGTAAAACATGTAGCTGGTTGCTAAAGCCACGTTATACTGTAGCTGCAATCGGTAGTGTGCAAGGGTATGGCCGATTATCACTGTTTTAATACCTACAAATGAATGTAGGTGGTGGCTATTCGTGACTAGGCATCAAAAATAATATTGAGAACGTATACTTGTCACTTAACTGGTTTCTGGCATTTCTAATGGGCGGATGTTTTGACCTGATAAGCCGTGCAACCGTAGTGAGATGATCGAGAGTGACCAGGCACTGTAGTTCTTACTTTACGAGTGGTTATTGGCGAGGAGACAGAAATATAGGGGCTGCTTTGTCCAGCTTGTTTTCCACAGTTCTTGGTGTTTACCCAACACAACACCTGTAGACTGGATTCTTTACGTCTCCTTCCTCGAGCACTGAGCACAAGTTGGACGCGAATGCTGCGTTCAGCATTCGGTTAGGAGTCTTCAGTGGGTTAACACAGCCCGAGAGCACCACTGAATCATAGTTCGGCTACGTAGGCTCAGCGCTGCATGCGTCAGAAACACAAACAAACACTTCATGGTGTTGCTGTCACCTGGGGTTCAGTTCTCACCCTTGCCGTTAAAGGTGCGGGGGTTGAATCTCCTCTCCAAATACTTCGAAGGAAATAATTCGAGTCTGCTAACTTTTTCTTTCTTAACTTTCTACTGACACAGAGCCGTGGATCCTAAGGACAAGAGCATCGCTCTCACAACGAATGCATTTTTCTTAAACATTCTCGGTGAGTTGTGCTTTCGCTCTCAAACGAAATTTTCTTCCGTCTACTTCCCCGCTGATCGCAGAGAAATCCAATCTCTGTGAGCTACGGAGATTACTTGTGGAATCAGTTAGGCTTAAGAACGTGTCGTACTTAAATATGAAATTGCGATGAGACGGTGAGTTTGAGGTGAACGTAAGACGAGGAAAGTGTATGTCGCGTCGCAAATTCATTTTATGTTCAAAACGATTTTTGTTGGTGTTGTTTTTCGCAGTGGTCAGCTGTCAGAGCGTTCTGCGGAAAAGTAGATGCATGATCAGTTCTGAGGCGTATGTTCATTACGTATCTTTATTATTCAGCGCGTACCCTTTTTCAATCTGAAACTGCTTCTGGAACTCCACAAAATGGTGCCCCATTTGAAAACATTGCAGCGATTTACACTTCAAAATGTGTGCGTTCCGGCGCGGGTCTTGCTGCTCACGTCGTTCGTTGTTTTCAGATAAGACAATGCATCGTGCGTAATTTCAAACAGTTCAGACCCACCATCGTTCCGCTTCAAGAACTTGAAAATTAGTTACTGTCCCTTTTACCAAGAAAGCAAGATGCAGTCACCGAACCGCGGTGCCGCGTGATGAGACCGTAGCAATCACCTGAACCACGGTAGAAGAAGAGAGACATGTCGGAACAAGGCCATATAGAGGGTCGAAATTCCACTCGGGCTTCGCACATCTCCCGGCGAGGCACTGCCGGTTTGGGGCTCGGCGCGCAGGCGCGGTCGAGCGGGAGCGGTGGCGCCTCGTGACGGAAACGTGTGGACGAATAAGGAAAGTTCCATAAGCCCCGTCATGCTGCGCCATCTCACGGCCTTCGTCCGAAATGGGAGCGAATCTTTGACACACTTGCTCCGTGGCGAGACGCCGCCATTCAGACATCTCTCTTTTCTTCCACCGTGACGTAGACTCTCCGAACCCCTAGTAACTCACCGTCAAGGCTGGTTCCGACACTTGCGACCTCTTATGACCGTGTGCCTTAAACACTTTTAAGATCTCTTACGACGAGGGAACAAACTGGCGCCATCTATCGGGTAGTCGTGGAACAGTTGGTTTACGTATTAAATTTTTTAGCTCGTTATTCCTTTTTTTTAACTGTTTACAATACTATAAACGACAACTCCTCATAGATAGTACTGTTACGAAAGTAAGTGCTAGTTGCATGGGCCGTCGACAGGTGGCGCTGGCGGCGCATAAGGTGTAGTTTAGTTAGTAGTTAATAGATGGCGCAGAAGGCGACTCCTCTCAACTCTCTCACTTACAGTTTATCCCCAAGGTGACTCATTGAGAAGACCTACTTTTGGTACGGGAGCGCCCTTATAAGGAGACGCACCTCGTTGTACTGCACTGTCTAAATATCTGATGTACTGCTAATAGACAAGCCACCCGTTGAGGCGTACTATCATCAAGGTTGTATAAACAGACGAGCAACAGCATTTTTAGATGAGAGTCTGAGGGGATCGGTGGCCGAGTGGGCTAACGCGTCTCAGCTCGGAGCGTGGAGCGAAAGCTTGCGTTGCAGAACCTCCTATGTTTGGCGCTCCGCTCCCTCCCCCCCCCCCCCCCCCCTTCCCGCCCCTTTCCATCTGAATGGGCCTCGTACTGGCACGCGTTTGTGTAATCACTACTGCGTGGTGGACGTTAAAGACCCCAAGTTAGCGGTTGTACTGCGCTGGCTAAATTTCTCATCTACAGCTGAGAGACAGGTGACCCGTGGAGGCGTACCAACTTTAAGGCTATCTAAACATACAAGCAACACACTTTTCGATGACCGTAAGCTAGCGAGCTGGGCCTCGATCTGGCGGGTCGAGGCACGACCCGCCAAACAATCAAACCGAGAGCAGACACTTGTACGCGAAGCCTCCGTAGGGAGTAGTCGCCGCCACCATCACTGGAAACCCGGGCATTTTGGTTCCACGACACTTTAATCTACTCCGCCTGTTTCCTTTAGGTGGTCCCGATCGTAGGTAGCTATTCCGAGGCATGACCCGCCAGGCTTGGCTCTGAATCAGGCCACAGTCTTACGACAAGCTACGGTCGTAGCAACGTGCATTTGATGTCGCAAATACCGAAAATCCTTCGCTTTAGTGAAATGCAGTTCCAGGGTCACCTCAGATATGGCGCCAGCGTGACAATAAGTTGTCTCGTCGTACAAGGTCTTGAGGCTCACGGTCCCATGGAAACGCGATTGTATGAACGGGACTTTACACTGGCACCGTAAAACCTAATTGCGCAAAGAAACACGGGAGGCGGTGGCCCCGGTAGGAACAAACAAATCTGCTAGCCGCGAAAGTCATAGTAGTGGAACTAAAGCACGTTAACCAAAGCCTCCCCCCCCCCCCCCCCCCTTTTCCCACCGTAAACTAAAGGAGAAGGCAGGGCATACAAAAGAGCATGCAGCGATTGCCAACTAATTTCGCCGAGTGTATTTTCGAAATAACGCTCTCGTGACGTGCTTGATTCAGGGGTTTATCTAGGATTGTTAATCTGGGGAGTTGTAACAAATTTATGAAAAAGGATAAACGCGTGTATACCATAAGTTTGTTTACTTTGTGTAAGAAATTCTTGGAAAGGAAAGGGGGGGGGGGGGGAGGAGGAGTTGGACACAGCCTGGGAATATGTTAGGGGGTGTTCATTCATTCATTCATTTGCTTTATTTTCAGTGCCACACAAACAGCTATACGCCTTCTTAGTGGTGCACTACGTCGAAATAAAAGGAATTCGAATCTCAAGAACAAATGTTGACATGTCAGAACGAAGGAAGACATCGATGCACTTTCTAAATGTTCGTTCGCATCCAAAAATATCAATACCAAGTTCATCTAAGGTGGATTCGAATTTGTTAAAAACCAGCTGCAGTCGGGTAATAGGGTCAGCGTTGTGTAAAATAGAAGGATAGAATAATGAACGTATGCGAATAGACCGCTGAGGAACACGCAAATATACACTGTTCAGTAACGCTGTGCAGTCAACAACACCATTAACAACTTTATGCAAGAACATGAAATCACGCATGATTCGCCTATTACACAAGGAACGTAAGCCAATTTGTTTACATATTCTCTCATAGTCATAAAATACCTTGGACTGCAAGTAACGATAATAGAAGACACGTATACATTATCTTTGCACTCGCTCAATACTAGATGAGTTACAATCTCCAATGCTGTTCTATACAACTGAAGAAAACTCGAGGCGGCTTAGCACAAGAGAGCGAAATAACGTTAAAAAACACTGTGGATTTCTAAAATTTCTCGATATACGCGTTATGATACCAAAAACATTGGGTTGTTGGATACCAAAACATTGGTTATGATACCAAAACATTGGGGTGTTGGGGGGGGGGGGGGGGGGGGATTGTATATACCACTGGCTTGAATCCCTGCAAATCAGAGTGATGCCGGAATTTCTCCACGAACTTACACTCCAAACTTTTCCGATTATGCTTCTAGGATTGTAGTCACTTGACCGGGGGCTCGAAAACTTTCAAATACGTCTGGAACGTCAAATTTGGAGCAAACTCTGACTTTCTTTATTTGCAGCTTTCATACCGTACCCTCTCATCTATGGGGCAGTCATCGACGCCTCGTGCATTGTGTGGGAAGACCGCTGCGGAGAGAGTGGCGCCTGCTGGATCTACGACCTCCAGAAGCTCCGCTACCTCATCCACGGGGTGACGACGCTGGTGCTCGTCGTCAGCTGCCTCTTTCAGGTTGCCGTCATCTACTACAGCAAAACTATGAAGAATTTTTACGACGAAGACGAGACCGATCCTCCGGCCGCCAGGGCTGCCGGGGAACCCCTGCGAGGAACACTCGAAATTCGCGAACCTGATCCTCGAAAACCGAAACGCAGATTAAATTCCTCTGACAGCAGTTGGGAATTTCGAAACTTGAACGAAGCGGGTGACGAAGATGGTTCGCTTCCGACATAGTTTGTTTCTATACCCGCGTGGTTCGCGGTGCCTCTACTAAAATCGTTTTTGCATCTTCAACTGATTTTGTTTTCTTTTATTTCCTACCCGGATATAACCTTTCTATCAACCATCATACTGCAGCCACGTTGCTCCAGTAGAGAATATAAGCAATGAAAGAGGTACGAACAGCAACCTGGAAACTCACAAAATTAATGATTTAATAAAGGCAAGGCGAAACAAGAACGATGACACACTTTTAACGTAAAGGACTTCAAATGACGTTGCGAAAGCAATACGTTAATTGTTTTCGTCCAAAGAGAGGTTATGACATCCGAGGTTGCAACGACTGTTAAACAGTGCGTTTTCACATAGTAGCTACGAGAACTGCGCATGTGCAGAACCATGTATTTCAAAAGGACAGAATCCGCGAGTGCACCGCTCTGCAGCTAGGGACATCGCCTTACTGTGGTGTGAAAAACAGGAAGGGGATGTCTGTTTTCATCAGCAAACCCCTAGCATATACATAATCCGTTTTATACTTAGTGCACAATGCTTCCTAAGCTACTGTAACGAGCGTATGGCTTCATCCAACCTACACCGTGATCCAACCTCAGACTTGCGTTGGAAATAAACCGCAAAATCAAAGCACACGCTCGCGCCAGAGGCTTTGACAGCGTTGTACAAAAAGTGTAATGCGGAATTTAAGGGATGTCCTGACAAAACGCGACCTCGTCCTTTTCCGTCCACTAAGCGGATTGATGCGGAGGTAGTTGTGACCTGTCTAGATAGTCCTTCACGCGATACATAAAACCCAGACGAGGCATTGACTAGAATCATATTTTAACGCTGCTCTGTACATTACAGTGAAAGTTTTGGTGATTAGCATTCAATTCCACGAGAAGAGCAGAAAACACAACCGACAATCGCTCGTTTTTGCTAGCATCCTTGCGCACTGTACTATAGTCTCCATTCAGTGTTCAGGCATTCCAAACGTTGCCCCCGGATTGAACTCCCTTTAAAAATTAAGACTCGATGGACCTTCCATCTTACTCGTCATGTCGTCCTAATAATATTTATACTCGTTGGACATTTGGTATCTATCGGATCTTCCAACGTGTTGGACATTATGCATTCTTGTCAGTTGAACTCTTGGATGTTCAGCCTCGTTGGCTATGCAGAATAGACGACAAGCGACCAAAATCCCAGCGGAGTTGTAAAGTCTGGGGACTACCTCTACGAGATCGACGATTAGCCACAATTGTGATTGCCAGGTTGTGTAAAAATGTTCCACATAAAATAACTGAAACCGATAAATATCATAAATGGGCCGACCGCAGAGTTTATTTAGTAAAAGCCTTTTGGATTTCAGAATTTGTTCTTCAAGTACTCTTAATTTGGAAGTTTAGTTAGGACAGAATTTGTGAGTGTGATATGGGGCCAATTCTGCCTGTAACACATTCTTTTTTTAAATATGGCAGAATTTCAAAGTGTGATTTCGCTCCAGTACCTCGTCTACGAAGAGACAGCACCTGCGTCACTTATGTCATCAAGTAATCATCATCACGTTGTTTGTTATTTTCAACGCTGTTTCCGCTGCGGTTTCCGAACGTTTTAGCTCTCGGATATGCAGCGGCTTGGCGTAGCATACCTGCTGTGTGCTCCGGAATATTACAGCTATTGTCGTTTCCTCTAATTTACCGACCCTTTAATATACACATTCATTTGCACCCCACCCCCAACCAACACACACAGACACACACACCCTTTCCGCTCCCCAAGTCATGGAAATCCAAGCCACCTCAGCTCGACTTGAAAAAAATTTCTGGCTACGTCACTGGGCAGAGAAGCGGTTTTCCGGGGGTGGGAAGACGGCTGCGGCCAGAGCCAGAGCCAAGAGATCAAGCAGCACCGTTGAAAAAAAGCGCGTCTCGAGAGAAAACGTACTGTTTATTGACCTATGTATACGGTCGTCCAGTTCGTATCAAGAAGCCCAAGTAGTTAGGCAGGGCCTTCGCGAGGCGGGGTTGGCACCCAGCGCCTGCAGATCTAGTTTGGAGTCGTCCGGTTCCAGACATTCGCCTCTGTCAACACAGCACACATAGAGGGCAACGCTGAGTCAGCGTCTCATTGTACAGCTCTTAACTTGGAAGTAAGAGGATGACCCCGGTGGAGCTCAACCAACATCACGACGCGTCTGTTGCCGGGAATCTCTCGCTGCCCTGGGGAACTCCATCGGTCGGTGAGAACGTTAGCCATTGCGCTTGCGGTCTAATATCTAGGGCGCCAGGAGTGACTCCATGGAGCCGACTGAGACAAAATAGGTCGTCTCTTGGGGTTTCCCCCCGAAGAACTTGCATCGCATTATTGCATTATCATCATAACATTAAAATATAGGCCGTTCACCGTTGTTGATGTTAGACTGGTGGCAGCTGTTACAACCCGTTTGCTTTACTGACGTCTAACTTCTGGCCAGCAAAGTTGGCAGATCGCTCCACAGGAAATGAAGAGGTCCCTGGTTCAATACCAGGACCAGGCGCATTGTTTTCAGTCGCGCACCAGTCACTGGCTGTGTTTGGAGATTTGTATTTTTCTCTTGTCCCCTTGCTCCCCTTCTCCAGGGATTATTATCGTTAACTTGCATCTGTCCTGGCGATCACGGTTCGCGGTGACATCTTTTTAGAAGACGCTAGACGGTTCTCTTTCTCCCTCCCCCCCCCCCCCCCCCTCGCTCAAAAAAAAAGAAGAAGAAACAACGGTACCACAGGGCTATGGAGTAAGCCAGACATCGGAGCTCCGTTGACAGTCATTTGCCAGAATGCACCTGATCCGCGGAAGGGATAGTAAACTGACGAGACAGACGGAGGTGGAAGGGAAGGTCTTTCGTCGGGTCAGTTCCCGTTGCTCGGTTCTTTTAACAAAAGGTGTGTGTCATCGCACAAAAAGCACGCGTTGCAATCGGCTCCACCGCGTAGAAAGCTTAGAGCAAGCCTCTCAGCTACAAGAGCAAATGCTCCGACAGGAAAATCGCGGGCAACAATCTATGACGTCGCGCCCCGTATCAGATATATCTTGCCCTCCAGCTCTTGGCGACGAGAAGACAGTAAGAGGCCAGACTACTCGGCCCGTCTTCGATAACCTCGGTATCGACAGATAGCGTCCACACGCATCGCACGACTTGTGGCTCAAGTCGCTTCAGGCGGAATCATTCAGGAGGCAGCCATAGGAAACAACCCACGCGGCAATGGCTGCCCAGAGGAAGACAAACGCCGCCACGCGCTACGAACAAGTTCCCGCGAGGGAACCGGAAAAAGAACCCGAAGATGACAGGGATTACCTCTGCGGCGTCGGGAACTACAGACCCTGCTGGATGCAGAGGTTCGCAACGTCCAGGTACTTCGCGCTCGTATTTGGAGTGTTGGGCATCTTCCAGGGCGCCTATCGAACTTACCTGGTGGGAACGCTGTCCACGGTCGAGAAGCGATTCTCTATGTCCGGCCACATGTCCAGCTTCATCATGATCGCGGACGACATCAGCCCGGTCATGGGCACCGTGGTGCTCATGCTGTGCCTGCGACGGACCAGCAAGCCTAACTGGGTCGCCGGCGGGATGTTGCTATCCGTCGTGGGAGCGGTGTCCAGTGTTTTGCCTTACGCCGTCTACGGGAAAGGGACTCATCTTTTGGGAAACACGGGTCAGCCCGGGAACGCGCTGAGAACTCAGTTCTGTGGAGACGGGAACGTGGATGCCGTGAGCTGCGGGAACCGAAAGGAAGATCTGGGTTCCCTGGGTCCACTCATTTTTCTCTTCATGGGCAACTTCTTTAACGGGCTCGGTGGAACGGCTTACTACGTCATTGGCACAACCTACATGGACGATAACGTGAAGAAAAAAAACTCGGCTCTTTATTTTGGTGAGTATATTTTAAACTACTACACGTGGTGCCGAAACGCGAAAGCACTATAATAATCACTGTCAGAAACAGAACGGCAGGACGTATCTTAAAAACGCCAGGCCTCCAGCAGGTATTTTATGCCTTTCATCGTGCTTTGGCTGGACGCGCGCGCCCGAGTTGTATGAGACAAGCATTGCCGAAGGTAGAAAGCTTGCGCTTGAGACGGTATAACTGAAGCTCATTCTTACCCTTGTCACATTGTCAATGACTATATAAACATATAACCTCGTTTTTGTTTATAACAGTTCAAGGAATGTCGTAGAAACTCTCACCTTATATTAACCGTAGCTGTGTGCGCGACTGCTGAGTGCATGCAGATGGCGAGCTTCCACGGTTCTTTTGGAACGTGCATTCCCCACCATCGAGATTGCCGGTCTTAGCAACCTATTAATATGGGCTCGTTCTGAGCAAGCACTCTAGACAGCACCCACAAATATGGCGTCCAGTGAATACTCCTTTTAGCAGCATATGCCCAAGTAGATTGTCAAGTGGCAAAATTTGTCGTCCTTTATTTGTTGTTTTTTCAACCAGAGAGATTTCTCTCAAATGCTGACTTTCAAGGTGGATGTTCTTCGTCACCATTAGAAACTTGTGTTCGGGTCGGTGTTTCTAGGCAGTCTTTTAAAAAGCCTATGTAAATTAGTTCTACTGCACATACACGAACATATTATATTCTTAGAACGCGTCTGCATGGATTTGTTGAAAGAAACTTGATTTGCTTTCTCGGTGAACAATTTAGCCCATATTGTTAAGAAAACGTCCCGAGTGTCAGAAAAACCATCTCAAGAGGTGTTTTCAGGTGATATGTCTTCCTCTTCAAAGTACACACTTGTGTGACTTTACATCTTATCACTGGTTCGATCATGGGCGGAGAGATAAAGGCCTTTAACTTTTCAAGCATTCCTCTTGCGACAGAGAACGAAAATAGAGGCGTTATTTTCCGGGCACTCTGGCAAGACAAAAAATGCCGCAGAGGTATGAGTGAAAGTTATATTGAATCTTCCAAAAAGTGGCGAAACTCGAGTTTGTACCTGGAATATAGCACGCGGAGTTGACCATTACTGAAATACTCAAATGAGTTTTGACCATTAATGAAATACACCAATGAGTTGAGAGGCCAGAATATTTTAATTACCATATGGTGAACATATATTTCGGTTTGAGAGATAATTAATTGTGTTATAGGGCAATCGACAAATTTCTCCGTACGCTCACAATATCAAGAGAAAGAAATAAAACTAATTAAGGCTTAATAAAAAATGCGCAGCTTAAATTCTGCGTGCACTGAACCTCATAAATTCGCATAGGAAAAGTTCGCCGAATCTCAAAAGTTGCGGGCTTGGTTGAGAAAGAGGTAAAAGGTACCGACTAGGGCGCATTATATTGTTGACTCGACCGTCACCAATTCAGTACCTTTAGAACAAAATGCCTCTTTTTATTTTAGCTTTGACACGACTGTCATAACATTGACGGAAATTAATTTCATTTTGAAATTATAAGTGAGTATAATGCTTTTTTTTATTTTTTAAGAAAGGTAAGTTGGAATTGCAGGTAATTATTTTACATATATAATTGCAATAAAATCACCTTATCTTATTTTAAAGTTTTATAGTCTCCAGGTGATAAAGCAAACAGCAGATAATATAAAGCAACTTATGAGGGAAGAAAGTAAAAAAATAATTTGAAGCGAGGTCTAGAACCAAATGTCTATATGGTCAATAATAATGACCAGCATCCTTATAAAAAAAGGCTGTTAAAAATGACATATCAAAAACATTCGCGGAGAAAATAGGTACAGTCGATCCTCGTCAAACTTATACGGAACACTTGTGGAATATTGAATGTAGAAAAAATATAAAATATAAAAAACTGCGCATATTTATGTGAACTGAAGGTATGCTACCGCCATAGTAGGACACAAAAAGAAATAGCTGAAGGCTGGCGCCAGCTAAGCACGCACGCATATAAAAAAATAAAATAGCAAAAGCCAAGAGTAGGCTTAGCATGTGTTCCAGATAAGTTTGCTGACTACTGTACATTCATGCTGAACCACCGCAATGTAAAAAAGAGGCGGAACCTTGTCAATATGTGAACATCATTAAAGACTTGATTGCGTCTGAGCTATGTTACACTATGTTCATTGTTATGATGAAAACATTGTTCTGCCGTGCTAACCCGTAAAACAATGGCAACATAATTTTACCGTAGTGATTACTTTCTAGACCTAATTTAATTATAATTGCATTCATTTTGGTATGGAGGAATTTGCATAGCTGTTTATTAACGTTTCTATAATTGCCATGCAAGAGATTTATAATTCAATGCAATTACAATATGCAAGTAATACGACATTTTCCACTATTGAGCACGTCAAGGGGCGTCTTTCTGTCGAGCTTTTACCGCTTTTACCAGTGCCATGGCTGCTGTGCCCCTATCTCTCTGTATATTCCCTTTTTACCCCTACTTGGAACTCTAGTCTCAGGTTCATCTACTTCATTCAAAGCCCTGTTGAAGATCTTTGGTCTGGTGGAAAGTATCCAATGCCCATACACGATTAAGGAAGTCGCTCAAGGTCGGCTTGGTAAAGCTGCGAAATTTCTGTTACATATATTTTTTTAAACGCTTCGTCTGTATGGGTGTGGGTAATTCCGAAATTCAGCTGCTTCATCATGTGAAAACTATTGCGCATATGAAAATTATTAGGCGCGAGGTACATTCTAAACGTGCCAAGCCTACACCCAAGGGGCGTAGGCTTGTCCCAGTTGACAGTTTTGGCGATATTATATTTGCTTTGTTTCCAATAATAAGAATTGTTTGACCACCCCTCGTAGTTTCAGCATGCAAATAATCTTCAGTCATAGACCTAGACGTAAACGTCCGTAGAAAAAACCTTTCGTTTCTTTCTTAATTTCGAAGCTGCGAATCTTAATTTTGAAATCAGACAGGCAATAACACTGCAACGCAAATTAGTCTTGCGGATTCGTGTCATGTACGACACCGTCCTCGATACAATAAAGTTAATGCTCTCAAATCTTTCACATAATTTTCTACCAGAGCTGGAGTTTATAATATTAATAACCAACCAGAGACTAAGGCCGGAACTTATTATTGCCCCCCCCCCCGCCCATTTTTTCTTACAAACAAATAATAGAATTGATACATGATATACATGTAATCTACACCGGCCTAAACATTAGCCTTCTTAAAGTAGGAAAAAGGTAAAAAAATGAAAGCCGTTTACAACTCCCTGTAACACCGAATTAGAGCGCAGTTCTTGAGGAGGAGGAGGGAAGGGCACTGAAGAAAGGGTATAACCCTCCTCCCTCCTCCTCATTTCCTCATTCTGGCTGCTACTCCTCCATTCAATACTATAAGGACGCGGCGGTCAGCAACAATAACGCAACGATAGCCTTTCACCTCCTAAACATAGGAACATGGGCATACCCAACAGTCGCAGACACCCCGGAAGAAGTCGAAGCGCAAGCAGTCTTGGCTGCAGTAGAACACGCAAGCAGCAATACAAAGAAAAGAATAACCATTTTTATCGATTCACAAGAGGTTATTAGAGCATGTAAGGTACACCTCGCGGTAAGCCCGACAATACTAAAAATCCTAAAGGCGGCAATAACAACACTGAAGAAGAAGAATGCAACGATACTCCTGCGTTGGATCCCGGGACACATGGGGATTAAGGTGCAACCCCACCGTGCATGACGTTTTTATGCTTTTTTGACGGCTTATGACTTTCTTTCTATGTATCTTACATTTATAAAGTTAATGTCAAATTAAAGAGCTGTTTTTCAACAATACTTTAATGTCTCGATATTACGATTATTTTTAGTGGTTAGTTAATTATTTAGCTTTTAATAGACCACAGTCTCTAATATTGAAAAATTTATTTCTCGAGTTATAACGTCCCATTGTCCATGATATTTTAAGTGAGCGTTCGGTTGGATGTAATAAAGTAAAAAAGTAAGCAACGAACTGTACAGATAATGTATATTTTAAAATAAAAAATAAAGTTTAAAATTGTACTTTTTTATGGCGCTGTAAAAACGGTATCACGTCAACTAATCGAAATAACGAGACATTAAATTATGAAGCAACCTTCGATATTACAATTTCCAGAACTTTCATATTGATATATTACACGTTAATAATGTTATAAGACCTGAAACGCTTCCCATTCAGTTACGGCAAATTGTAGTTTCTTATTATAAAACAGAGATGGCGACACGTGTTCAAGAAGAGCTTGATGTGCATTTTCCGTCGTGTGCCGCTTGGAACGCCACGGGAAAGACAGAAAAAGCACCAGATGTCAGGGTGTCAGATGCCTGGATGCTCGCAGTGAGCGAGCCAGAGATGTCAGAACAACAAGCGCGAGACTGCGGGTGCACCACAGCTCCTTTTCGCGCGTTTTACTGTGCGTTGGTTCACATGCCGGTCGCGATCGGTGTCTCTGAGCTAACGCGCTGGCCCATGAATCTATATTTGTCGGATTTAAATATCGGCCGAGGTGCCCACAGTCCGACGGAGGCCAATCTGAGATTTCGGTTGCACGTCAAAAAATCTCCAGTCAGTCAAAATAAACGCGCATTTTTGTTTCTTTTTTTATTAGGGCGTGTTAAGTAATTTTTGTTGGTTTGGCTTCTGAGATACTTAGTTCAGAGCGCAGCAAACGCCACGGGCTGATGAAGCCACTGAAGCATCGCCAAGAGCGCGAAGTTAAGCTGTTCGTTTTTTTTCTGTGCCTAAACGGTCGGGCTAAACTAGAGCCACTAAATAAGCTACGCTTCATACTACAGTGTTTTGGAGGATGTAGTGGCAAGAGCGGCGACCGCTTACAATGGGCCGCGTGAAGACGGTCAACGTAGTGGCGCTGGAGTTCCGTACCCTAGTAGAATTTTCGGTAGATGGCAGATGTGCGATGAGCGAAGAAGGCGAAGCTGAGGTGGTAA